ACCGCCAGCCTCCCTTTCCCACAAGCCTCCGCTCCGAGCGGCCGGACACGGCGCCCCGCGCAGAGGGCACATAGCTCCGCGCTCGCTCAGTGCCTAACTATACCCCCCGGCTCAGCGGGCGGGGCGAGGAGCGGCGCCGCGCGGCGGCCCGGGGGCAGCGCTGTGTCACCCACTCCCCCGCCACAGCGGGCACTGAGCAGTTGTGTCCAACTGCCGCCGGCCCGGCCAAAATAGCAGAGTGACCCGCCCTGTCGTCATCGCCTCCTCCTGAGTCAGCGTGCGAAGGACGGCTGCGAACCCAGCACGTGGGGGCCGAGCGGGGGGCACAAGCTTCCCAGCCTCACTGGGGTATGTATGTAACCGACTGGTCCTTTAAAGCGCCAGACATGCCGTGGTACTGTGAAATAACGGGGCGACTCCAAGCCACACACCCCCAACTGCCACTGCTACCCAAGGGGCAGCTCATGAGACCGCTGGGGACCTGGTGCCATCTCTGCTGGTCACCAACTAACCACTCCTAAGCAGCACCAAAGTTAAGAACTTACAAACAGTTATACTGGATCAGACCAATGGTTCTTCTAGCCTAGTAGCCTGTTTACCCGCAGAGCCAGTATCAAATGTTTGAGAAGAAATTAACAGAACAGGCAATCATCAAATGATCCAGCCCCCATTGTCCACTTCCAGCTCCTAGCAAGGGTAGGTTAGCAGCAGTCAGAGCATGGGTTTGCATTGCTGATGATTTTGCCTAGTAACCATTAATAGATCCATCTTCAATGAACTTATATAATTTTCTTTTTTTTTTAACCTATATTTTTGGACTTCACGCCATCTCATCATAACAAGTTCCATGGGCTGATCATGTGTTGTGTGAAGAAATACTTTATTTTGTTTGTTCTTTAAACTTGCTGCCTATCAATGTCAGCAGGTCACCCTTGGTTCTTGTATTATGTGAAGGTATAAACACTTCCCTATGAATTTGTTCTTACCATTCATGAGTTTGTAGACCTCTTATATTCCCACTTTATCGTCACTTTTCCAAAATGAAGAAACCCACTGTATTCATAAGTACAAGAAATTCCAACTAGTACAAAAGATGGCAGTGCATCTCCTCACTAATATAGGCTATTGTAAATGCACCAAACAAGTTTTTTCTATGTTGACTTCCCATCAAATTTTGAATCAAGTTTAAGGTTTGAGTTTTGAGCTTGAAGTGCTGCATAGCCTGCTTCCACAATACCTAAATGATTGTTCAAGCTCTGGGATGAAGACCACCATTGATAACTTTCTTCATCTGGCACAATGGAACAATCAACAATAGGGTTTTGGCTATACTAGAGAGCTCTCTGTGTAGGTGTTCTAAGCCAACAAGAGAGCTAGCTCTCTTGTCATAATTATTTCAGGTTCTGCAACTGTGGTACGTTACTATGAGCTCTTCCTCTGACATAGAACTGTCCACATTGGCACTTAAATCAGTGTAAATTACGTTGCTCAATGGGATGGCTAGTTCACATTTCTGAGCAGCATAATTTATGTTGATTTAAGATGTAGTGTAGCCATAGCCCAAGAGTAAATCTATGGGACAGACAGAACATTTTCCAGGGGTAGTCTTAGATTGTGGAACGAATATGCCCAGGCACAAAGAACTATCACAAATCTCACCGCTTCCCACTCGGTATGCAAGGCACTTTTTTTTTACCTTGCCTTCTCTAATGTCAACTAGCAACAGGTATATGTAAACAAAACATACAAACAAACAAACCTTATCAAAACAAGCTACTCCTCTATACACTTCTTCCACAAGGGAAGAATAACAGAACAAATGAGACAGATTTGTATCATGTTGCTGAAAGCTCTGTTGGAAGGCTCTTAGATACTAAGTGATGAGCATGTATAAAAAACCTAAAAAGAATAGAATGGGCCAAACCAGAACTTTGGACCTGAACAACCACAAATGTGGGGAGTTTGGAACTGCTGACCTATTATTTATTTGTATCGTGTTAGCATTTTGAGACCACCAACTGAGGATTGCCCCATTGTAGTAGGTAGACACTGCATGGCTGTGTCTACACTGGCATCCCTTCCGGAAAAGGGATGCTAATGTAGCACTTTGGAATAGGCAAATCCACGGGGGATTTAAATATCCCCCGCGGTACTTGCATTAACATGGCTGCCACTTTTTTCCAGCTTGGAGATAAGCCGGAGAAAAGCGCCAGTCTAGACGTGATTCTCCGGAAAATAAAGCCTTTTCTGGAGGATCTCTTATTCCTACTTGAAATGGTGGTCTTCATCCCAGAGCTTGAAAGTAGGAATAAGAGATCCTCCCGAAAAGGGCTTTATTCTGGAGGATCGCGCCAGTCTAGACGCTTTTTTCTGGCTTTTCCCCAAGCCGGAATAAGAGATCCTCCCGGAAAGGCTTTATTTTCCAGAGAATCACATCTAGACTGGCGCTTTTCTCCGGCTTATCTCCAAGCCGGAAAAAAGCGGCAGCCATGTTAATGCAAATACCGCGGGGGATATTTAAATCCCCCGCGGATTTGCCTATTCCAAAGTGCTACCTTAGCATCCCTTTTCCGGAAGGGATGCCAGTGTAGACACAGCCACTATGTATAAAATGACAGTTCATTCCCCAAAAAACTTACAATCTGAGGCTGTGTCTACATTGGCACGATCTTGCGCAAAAGCGGCCACTTTTGCGTCAAAACTTGCTGCCTGTATACACTAGCCGAGAGTTCTTAAGCAAGAACACTGACGTTCTAATGTATGACATCAGTGCTTCTTGCACAAGAACTATGATGCTCCCGCTCAGGAATAAGCCCTCTTGCGCAACTGTTCTTGCTCAAGAGGCCACTGTAGAGAGGCCACTGTAGAGATGGCCCTATGGTTAAAATGGCCATCAGAGCTTTCTTGTGCAAGAGAGCGTCTACACTGGCAAGAATGCTCTTGCGCAAAAGCACATCTCTTGCGCAAAGGAACATGCCAGTGTAGATGCTCTCTTCTGGAAGAGTTTCTGCACAAGAACTCTTCCGCAAGAGTTCTTGCACAAAATCATGCCAGTGTAGACGTAGCCTGAGTGTCAGATGAGAGAGAACAAAAGGGAGAGCACAAGGTAACAGTAAGATGATGATAAATTAATTTTGATAAGCAGTGGTCACAGAAAACCAGGTGCCTAATCATTGTCAAATATTTTGTAGTCATCATGGCATAAGTGAACTTGAAAAGTGCTGGTGGCCTTGCAGATTTTACAGGAAGCTCCTCCCCATTTATAAAAATGATAATGGGAGAAAGCACAAAGGTACTTGTTGGGAAATTTGACAGATGGGCTCTCCACACTGGCATCATGAACATAGCAATGGCAGAGGTGGTTGTTTCCAGAGTGTGTTAGATAAGAGATTAAAAGAAGAGATGGAATAGTTAATGGGGGCCCTTAAAATTGAAGACTAGTAGCTTGTGTTTGATGCATCCAAAGGGAAGTCGACAGGTAGGCACAATGGCACTGGTGATGTGTCAAGTGAGAGAGGTGATTTTTGCAGCAACATTTTATATGAATTTGAGATGGCGTTAGACAAAACCAGAAAAAAATCCAAGGTTGTAATCAGGAAGCAAGATAGTGTCTGGCTAAGAGTTGTAACTATATGAGTAGAAAGGAAATACTGGATCTTACAGATGTTGTGTAGGAAAAAGTGGCAAGATTTAGACACAGCCCAAATGCATCAGATCTAGAGAAAGGGACAAAATGAAGACCAAGCTGATTTTACTCTTCTGAGTGTCAGTAGTTATTGTGACTGAGAAAGGTTAAAGGGCTTAGTGAGGAAAGATCAAGAGTCTAGTTTTGGTCATGCTGAACTTGGGCTGACAGCTGGGTATCCATGAAATGATGTCAGAAAGACAGGCTAATATTTTAATTTAGACAGAGGAGACAGTTCCGGAGTGGACAAGTAGGTCTGTGAGTCAGTTGCATGGTTTTGAATAAGATCATTCTGTACAGTATTCTGAGTCAGAGTCCTGGACCAAACTACCTCCGATTATGGGGTAGTTCAATTCTGAATTTCACAGCTATCGTGTACAGTAGACTGATCCAAACCCTTGAACTTGACACACAAAAACACCTCTGAACTTCAGGGAACACTAAAATCTAAACTTATCTAACACCTTCATAATATTGTGAAGGAGTTCCTTGAGGAAGTGCATGGAAAAACATATTTCTTGATACATGTATTTATTTGTTTGTTTAAATAATATATTGGAACTCATTCCCAATTATACTGGGTACTATTCTTATAGCACCATTTTTCTAACTAAAATGATCATAATACTTAGTAGGGGGCTGCACCTTCTGCTCATTACGCTCACCTACCCCCCTCTTTCTGGCTGTTTTCGCTTCACTGAGAGAGCTTGTTGATGCTGTTGACACTTATGACATTGTGCTGTCACTTGGCAGGAACATTTTGTCGTCCATCAGGAAAAACTTCTTTATATATGTACTAAGAAGCTATGACCTCTGTGAAGAGACCTGACATGCTCCCGACCCCGGGGCGGGACCCAGCAGGATGCTTTCCCTTCACATGTCCCCTGTACACGGAGGCAGGGGACATCTCCCCCTCCCCCCCCCCCCCCCGCCACACCAGCCTGTGCCCCTTCTTCCACTCCCACCCCACCCCACCCTCCACCAGCATGGGTCTTTTCTCTCTCCCCGCATTCCCTGCTGCACTAGCCTGGTTTCCCCTTCTCCTCCCTCCCCCCGGTCCTTTCTTCCCCCCCACTCCCACTCCTACTCCTCCCAGCCATGGCATGCACCAGACCCAGCTCTAACCCTGGCAGCCAGGGAGGCACAGGGGTGCCTGCCTGCCCCATCTGGGGGCACAGCAAGGG